TGCCAACACCACGAAAAGCACATCTAACCCCACATGCTAACCCTGGGGTAGAAGTGTGTGAGACGCCCAGTTTGGCTTAGCCTGAGCCTTAGCCTGTTGACATGGCCGTAGCAAAGATGGGACTGGGATATCCACTAGGCACAAGCATATCTTTGACAAGATTTTTAAAAAATCATCCAATAATCAGAAGAAGAGAAACTATATTGGCATTTCTCCTCAAGCATTGAAGCTTCTTATGACTGCCCTGGCCTTGGGTGCAGGGTAGTCAGGTTAGAGTCAGGGTTTGCTAGCTCAGAGGCTAAACTGCATCCAACTGGTTAGTACATGTGAGGCAGCCCTGCGACCTCTGTGCTCGCTAGTTTGCACGTCCAATAACTCCGGGCATCCATTAGTTCCTCTGCACTCTTTCGAGATGTGGTGTTCAAGTCTCCATAAAGATTTTTGTTTGCAGGGGATCAAAAATCTTAAAGGGGCACATTTATTACTACATTGGGTCTGCTCCTGGTTTGGGTAAAGAACTGTTACGTATCTGTTATTTGCTCTCTCTGTAGGAAAGGAAATTGAGCATGGTACAGAAGCCCAGGGACATGACTGCAAGGCCTAAACAGCCTGTTAAAGCTAAGATTAAAGACAAAAGTCACTGATAGCAAAGCTGCAACTAATAACTACCCCCTTGGTCACAGCGTTGAAACCTTCTTACAGGAAGCCCCATAAAGGTGGGATTCAGTTCAGTGACCTTAAAGCATCCCTAAAGTGGGTGTTTGTCTCCTGTTATTGGGGGAGGTAGGCAATACAGCCAATGAAGAGCAACGATCAAATGCAGGTGGGACCAAATCTGCTTTAGGACAAGATGGACTGCTTTCCAGGCTTCACTGTATTCCCAACATTCATGTTGACTATTGAGAGCAGAGGCACATTGCTCAGTGGTAGACACCAACATTGTAACTACTTCTGCTCCTGACACTTAAAGTGGAGTGGGTGGAATCCTAGCCTACATTTCCACGTTTCATTGATACAAATAACTTTTATAGCCTATGTTTAAAATAAGCCTTGCAAGGCTAAACATGAAGTAAAAATGTCCTGAGGTGTAAGACAATTCTTGCCCAAGAAGTTTCATATGACTTAGTGATGACTACAACAAACGCCCCTACTGACGGTTAATGTGGCCATACTGATGTTTTTTCCTAATGCCTCACTGCTAAACTGTTGTTTCTGGTGTGGGGCACAAAGCTCTGACCTCTTATTTTGTAGTCATTTCTCGAGCTTTTTTTCTGTGCTAGTTGGAAACACATGCTCTCCATTTTAAAATATCTTCTTATTCTGAAAGTTTAAAGCCTAGCTGCCCACAAAATGTTTAAGTGAGAAGTGCCCGTAGTCATTAGAAAACAATTTCTGCGGTTTTTGCACAGTAGAAGTAGGCTAGAAGAAAGGCTGTCTCAGAGCTGGTAGTTTCGAGGCATGGGCACAATGCAAGAAAAGCTGTTTGCAGCAGGCAGGCACACCCACAGGCTGAGCAGCTCTTGCAGAGCATTTCCCCTTGAACTGGAAACTGAGCCTGCCTGCAGACTCCATCCAGGCCTTCGCTTGCAGTGAATTTTTTAATCTTCCAGTTTCTGGAGGTGTGGTATCTGATACTAGCAAAATTAAAGGGAGACTAGGAGGAAATACAGAGGAGCTGGGCCAAAGGTCAATGCTAATTGCAAACAAGATAATCATTTTCTACATGAGAGAACTAGAGCTAACTGCAGGGACGTGTGACAGGTTCCCCATACCTTCACGTGTCTGTCCAGTCATTATTTTATCTATGCTGTAGAGGGATAAAGAAATGAGCAGGAGACGCATTACAGAATCCCAGTGACCAACCTTTTTCTGCCTTCCCATCCTGACATTTTCTTTCCCCTCTTCAGAGACTAAATGTAGCTAGCAGGTTCCTCTAAAATGACAAGAAGTCTCAGGGATGCAGCAAGTCTCTTATGCTGAGTGTGAGTGACTAAGCGAACCCGGCTCCCTACCGCTGAGCTTTTACTTGGCCCATCTGCCAAGGTAGTACCCAAGCCTCTTTCCTACTTGGTGGCTAGCATGCGCTGCACTTGGCTCTTCACTCACGCACTGGAGTGAGTCCAGCCAAGGGCTACCAAGATGGTCGGGGGCTGGAGCACTCGGCATATGATAAGAGGATGACAGCTGGGTTAGATCAACCTGAAGAAGAGATGGCTTGAGGGGGATCTTCCCGCTGTCTGCAGCTACCAAATGAGAAGGTGTAGAGGTGAAGCAGGTAAACCCTCTTCAGAGGAGTAACAGGCAATGGCCACAAGGTGCAACATGGGAGATTCTTACTCTGTGGAAGAATTTTTCACTGTGAGGGCATCAAACACTGGAATAAGGCCCCAGGGAGGCTGTGAGATCTCCATCCATGGAGATATTTGAAACTCGACTGGACATGGCCCTGAGCAACCTGCTCTAACAGGCCCTGCTCTGAGCAGGGGTTTGGACTAGAGCCCTCCGGAGCCCCTCTGTGGCTCTGCAACAAAGCAGGACAGAGACTACAATGTGCCTGCCAAGTGCCCTGACTTCTACTCTGTCATGTAAGCTCCTGTTGCAGACATGTCTCTCCCTGTGTGAGAGGCAAGAGTCCTCTCACATGCAGAAGAGAAAACTAAGTGGTGCCTGCTTGTATTCTCTTAGCATCTTTGCTAACCACACAGGCAGAGTAAAATGTGGCAGCCAGAAAGGGCTGTTGGGTTTTGCTTACAAGTACTATGTGTGTGTGTCATGTGAAATTTATCATTTGGAGAGAGGGAACTCACTTTGTTTTACTTTCTCCTCTATGAGTGCCCCTGGCTATGCTGGTCTTTCCGCTGCTCACTCCCTTAACTCATGTCTAGAAACACAACTGGTTCCCCGGAGCGTTCCAGGGTGAATCTGTACATGCAACTGTATTTTGCTTAACGCAGAAAAAAAATCCATGTTTATAAGAAAATACAGTTCCCAACAAGGTCTGGCAGACTTCTACACATGCTGCTTCCATTGGCATTGCTTGGAGGGAAAGCTGGACTTGGAAATGGTTAACTTCTTTACAGGAGCACTTTAACCCAGAGGTGCAGGATGAAATCCTGGCCTTACTGAGGTAAGGAGGAACCTCACCTGGGCTGGGATTTCTCTTGAAGTACTTTTCACTGAAGTAACTTCCACTAGCTCATTGGTGGAGATCATTTATAGCAGTAAATTATTTCCTTTGCCAACAAATAGGTGGTTGCAAAGCTTGTGGAGCCTATGCCAGTGGAAAGGGTAAGATAGTGCATGGCACGCACAGGAGCAAAAGAGAATTGCATTTACCAAAATCACATTGGCAGTATCCAAAATTGCTGGCACAGTCTCTGATTTGTCCACCCACTAGAACATATATTTTGGATCTCACCAGCTACATACTCTTACCTTTTCATTGCCACCCATCTCGAATATGCAGTATGGTTACTTCTTTTTGAAAATGTAGCTCTCATGATACTGTTTTTCTCAAATTAAGCTAATGTTTCTCAACAGGTGGTCTGCAGACTCCAAAGAGCTCACAAAAAAAAAGCCCATGTCAGGTAGGCATAATGTGATGAAATTTTATTACACTCTGAAGCAAGGGAACTTAAATCTGTCCACCCTTCATGCTTCCCTGCCAGATATTCTCTGTCAGTCTTGCAAAACCCACTGCAGTATGTGCTATAGTCTTCTTGTCAGCTACAACCCATTTTTCTCTCTTGCATTTATGATAAATATTCAAATAAGGGAAAAAGTTAACTGAAAAATGTAGAGGATAGTGCAAAAGGACGGCACACGTCTGTAAGGTCTCTCCTTCAGATATTTTCCCTTGTGAATACAGGAAATACATTCACTTCTGCTTCTCATGGAACTCTTCAGCTGCTTGAATTGCCCCAGCAGTTTTACAGCCTGCTTCCCACAAAACTTCTGCTTTTACTCACATTTACAGCTGTCTAAAAGATTATATTCTGCAGGATGAAAACCATGTTTCTCAACCTGTCTATTCCCAAGCATTCTGTATTGTGTGTTGCATGTAACGCATAGGGAAGTGAGATTATGATAGATTCACAAACTCATCTAAACAACAGAAGTTACATTTCAACCCTCAAACAGCATTAACATCAAGCTGAGTGAGACAAGAGCGAAAGCCTGTTTACGTATCTGGTTGTTCCAGTTATCACCCTTGGTACTTCAGTTTGTGCCAAGTGCCATGTTGCAAGCTTTACTGCCAAGAAGACAGATCTATGAGCACTTTGGCTTTCAGTGAATGAAAAAAAGAGTTAAAAATAACCGAAAACAGATCTCTGCCAGAGGTTCATGTTTCAGATTTGCACAATATGCTGATAAGAAAGTATTTAACTCTCAAACAATTTTCACACCTTAGTCATCATTTCTAGGTGACTGACTTGCTTTTCTCATGCAAACAAAGCATATTCTCAATGGGTCTGAATTTCGTACTAAAAATTCAGACTTACGCTGGCCCAGGGAAGGCGGTCAGCTTTGCAGGAAGCCCTGTGAAATTATATAGGTGATTAATAGCACCTTAAATACGAGCTGCCACCGCTCTACCCACATATAAACACAGCTGCATTTGTGTGTTTTTGACTGCACCCATCTGATTTCTGCCTGCTCATGATTCTCAGAGAGGCTGTAAGGATGTCCTCTTGCACCTCCAAATGAAATGCTATAGCTTCTGGGGGCATTTCTAACAAAAAAAAAAAAAGATTCAAGGGACTGGACAAGGATTGGTGGAAACAACAGCAGAAAAGATGTAAAATCTTAGTAGTGCTCTGGCTGAAACTCTTGACCAAGTTCAGCTCCAAGCAGAACTTGGTTCAGCACCAGACTGCTGTGGATGCTGTCAACTGTGGTTTGGATGATACCCAAAACAACATTTAGATTTATGGGCAATACACTAAATGGAGTCAGGGCCCAGTTTTTTCATGCAATTCACTTAGCTTATTGGAATTGCTTGGGATCATGTTCATTACCTAGAGTCAAAAAGCACACCCAATCCAGCAGATATAGTTATTTTAAACTGAGTCTTTACATCAGTCCTGAAATGAGAAGACTTCTACAAGTGTTGGAGGGTGTTGACACCATGCCAATATTCAAAAGCAGGAAGCAAGATGAAACAATGTCACCTAACGCTTACCTTGGGCAAAATAAATAAGAGTTAAATAGTAAAGAGAGAGAGACTGTAGCTAATGCTAGTCTGTGTGGCTTTACAGAAAATAAGCTTTAGTTTTGGTATCTAATGATATTACAAGGCTGATAAAAGGTTCTGTGTGGAAGCTTTGACTTGATTTGCCTGCTCATTTGATTGATCCTCTCTCCAGTCTAAAGCAACACAATAGGATTTGGACTGACTGGCTGTCAAATCTCAAAACATAGCTGTCAGTGAAGGAAGCTTTACTGAATCAGGAATACTGCTTGTAAAATTCGGCAGAGACTACTAGTTCAAAGCTTAAAACTCTTCAATATTTTCATTGATGGTCTGAAAGCACATGGGCAATCAGAGCTAGCAAGGTAAAGTGATTTAAAAAGGTTGAGAACCAGACGGTAATTCAGAGAGATCTGAGCAATCTGGGGCTCCTCAGATGATTCAAGTTTGTTTTAATTCAACCAGAATTGTGTACTTGGGAGCTAAGCAACACGGATTGTGTCTAGAGAGTGGGAGTGCATCTCCTAGGAAACATTGACTCTGCACACACAGACAGGCACCGAAACTGAGCTTCTAGCCAGAGGTTTCACTAAGAAAAGCTGATGCAGTCTTTGGGTGTTTAAAAAGATACCAAATGGGAAGGAATAAGAGAGGGAAGATTCTACCGCTGTTGAGCTTGGGGCTGGAGCTGTATACATATTTTGTCCAAACTCGTAAGAGGTTGAGAAAGTACACAAAGGAATCACTGAGATGATTTGTGGGCTAGGGAAAAACCCTCTCATTGAAAAACAGAGAGTGGTGCTTGCTGAGCTTCTAAAAAGAAGCTAGCTTGACAAAATGGTATCACATCTGCTGGCCACAACAGTCGTGATAATCTAGTGGGATTAGGCATATGATAAATCAATGAAATCAATGGAAATTTAAGCAAGAAACATCCAAGCTAGAAATCAGACATACATTTTTAACAATGTAAAGCTGATGACTAGAACGCACTTTCGTCAGGAAAGGGTGGCTTTTGCATGTCTCAGGCTCTCCACATCAAGAGAAAACATCAGTCTGGGAAACAGGCTTTAGTCAGACACAGTTAAGCAGCTCAGCACTGAAGAGATCCTAGCTAAAACCCTATAGCCTGGGATATGCAGGAAGGCAGAGCAAATGAGCTACTGGGGACACGCTAACCTTAACAATGGTGACGCTGCTTTGGTAATTAATGACTGAAAAAGGCATGCTCTCCCCTTCTCAGCTACTTCACCAGCACTAGGTAGCCCAAATCCCAGGACGGGACCCTCTGGAAGAAAGTGGGGTCCTGTGAAGGGCAGGGAGTAGCTGCTGAGGTTGGTTTAGAGGAGGGGTTGTATGATGTCTGTGGAAAAAAGCAGCATAGCTTGGGGACTAGGATGTTGTTATCAAAAAGCCTGTCTGTTCTCTATCTGTTAAAACTTGTGTGTTTTTTCTACTTCTAAACAGTCTTTTCATCATTCCTCCATCACTTCGGAGCAGATGTTGCATAATTCCAGGTGCATCCTTGCTCTCTGCTGCCAGAGTCCTTCTCCGATGCCTTTAAGGTCAGGAAATTCCTTTCTTTGATGTTTCTTTCTTGAGTGATTTATTCTCAGATAGTTGGGCCATTTTTGTGGACAGGCAGAGTTCTGCAAGGTTAATAACTTCTTATCCATTTGGATGATTTAATTTCTGAAGGCTTCCCCTAAGACTTTGAGGATAAGTTTTTTAAAAGTGAACAGTGATCTGAGCTGCTTCATTTTGGGGTTTTCCAGCTCAAGGTGGAGTTCAAGGAAGGGTGCAGAGGAAGGGTGCTGAGTGCTTTTGAAAAGTTACAGCTTTTAAGGTATCCAAAATCAGGGACTCAGAAATGGAAGCCTATCAAATCACTACTGATTAAGAAAAATATAAACCTGAGTATCGCAGAGGCTTGTGGTCTCCTAAGAAATGCATCCATCACAAATTAAATTAGAAGCAGACTCCACTAACTGGAGATGAGCAGCCTGTATATTTACAACTTTAAACCAATAGTTTTGGTAAAAAAAAGTATTTGAAAAGATCAAATAGAGGACAGAGTCCCAAACCCTAAGATCTCTCTCACCTTGACATAAAGTTTTATAGCATTGGAAAGTACTTTCTCAAATAAATGTAGAAAGCTAACCTGGAGATAACTGAAACACAGCAAGTAACCATAGCACAAGTTTCAGCTTAGCCCATTGCACCACAATAAAATATACTCTGATAAAAAGCCCCATGGAGTTATTACTGTCTCTGGTAGCAGCGAGGGCTTTACTGCCTGTGCTTCAGAGCAACCACAGAGCTATCATTTTGAGTTAAGAGGCACTCACACCTTGGTCTCTCAGTGCACGGTCCCATCCAGCTGACCAGGCCAGTGGCTTCATTCAGACTATTTGCATTAACTCCACAGCAAAGTGGGCACAGCAGACTGAACCCCATTGTCCTGGGCAAATCCTGCTCTCAGCAACGTGCCTATTTTTGCCGGTTTTGTCCCTCCGCCTGGAAGACTTGCTGAGAGCTCTCCAGGAGAGAGAGCAGTGCTGCAATGGTGTGTGGTGCGTGGTTTGCTGGGGCTGTGGAAACTCGCTTCTGTGGTTACTGGTGTATTTATAAAAGCAGTAATCTGAGACTTTTAACACTTTCAGCTCATTCCCTCGACTCCAGAGAGGACAAGCCCCACTGAAGCTGATGCTGTAGCAGTGCAGGAGACTTGGTGCCTGCACTCTGGGGTCCCACCTGCTCCTCAGCCCAAGTCACCCCACTCTGGGCAGCTCTTAGACATGGAGCCTGCGGCCCAGCACAGGCCTCCAGACCTGGGGATGGCAGCGCCCGGGAGCCTCATGAGCGGCAACTCTGCCAGACGCTCACTCCGCCTCCCTGAATCTCTCAAGCCCAAGGCTGCTTGTAACACTGAGTAATTTCAAACAAACCAAGCCAAAGTAACAACAACTAAAACTTTCAAAGATAATGAAAACTTAGTTTTGAATAATCCACATCACCCATTCTTCTCCTTGCTGTTGCTCTCCAGGTGTGCATGGTGAGATCTTTCTCTTCCAATTTACTCAAAGGTCTCAAGCCCTTTTGAGACTCTTTGGGTCCTCCTGTATCACTAGACATCTCTTCAGACTCTCAAGTGACCTCCTGGAGCATATTTATTATTACTGCTATTCCTTAAATAGCAACAGCAATGAGCATGGCCTTACTGGAGCAGGCTCTTGAGCAAGTGAAGACACAGATTGCTACATGAAGGCATTTTCCTGGAGTGCCTCAGTGCCTAGTTCCTGTATAAATCAATTATCATTGATTCAAATAATTCTTCTGAATGAGAGTTAAGCACTGAGGTGCTTCTGAAAATCCCACAAGGCATCAATCTGAACCTCCAGCAGGCAAAGTACCTTTAGAAACCTGGCCCTAAGCAACCCAGAGCCCTAAATTCCTGTTTCAGAAATGAATTATGCACTTAGGAGACTATGGCCTGAGAGTAAGATCCAGGCTTCTGTGTTCCCCACAGGTCTTAAAATTGAGATTTGAAAATCACTTAAGTGGTTCTGAAATTTTCATCCATTCCTCTCAGGATCATAATTCTGTGGTCTTAATCCTGTGACCAGATGCAAGGACACGGGTACTGGGGTCCTTGACAGAACCTATGCAACCCAAGATGGTTTCCAGGCAATGTCCTGCCCCCAGAGACATGCCACAGAGAAAGGAAATTAGATGAAACAGTATGGGAATAGTATTGAGCACACACAGCTAACTGGGGACTTTTGCAGAACAGTATTTTTATCCTAGCAAAGACTGTGGAGCACTTCAACAGAGGAAGCACTCAGCTGCTGGGGCCTGATGTCTCACCAAAGGGCAGTGGCTTCCCCCAGAGGGCTGCCTACTGGGGGATCAGAGTTTGGGGTTATCATCTTACTGGATGTAAACTCCTAGGATCACCCTTGGAAAATCTGTTTCACGGGTATTTCCTCTAGCCTGTGATTTTGCCTATTTGCCCTTTCTTTTTAGACCATCATTAGAAATACTCTACATCTTTTAAAATGTGTATAGTTGAGCATTTTCCCCATGTTTTCTCTTACCTGCTCTTCCTCCTGCTCTTCCTTTTTCCAAGGCCTTCCCTTCTTAAGGGGCACTCAGATTTCTTTTGTATTTTCTGTTAAAGGGACAGTTAAAACAGAAGACTGTTTGTAGCTGTGTGCACTGTTTGCAGTTGTTTCTAGTTACCGTTAGCTCCATCCTCTCTGCACCTTAATAACTGCATCTATTTACTTCCTGCCCACCCTTTTGTTATTAATAAGATCATGCTGTCATGGTGCCCTTGAGATTAAAGACAGGAGGTCTGTTAAATCATCTACTCCATGCTTCTTTCAGAGGGCAGCGGATGTAACCCTTTAATTCTGTCTGTATGAAATTTAACTGATGGAGCTGCCAGCCCTTTCCTAGGAAGATGACATTATCATGACAGACCTCTCAATTTACTAGCTGTTCTTGTATCTCCTTTGTCAAATTTTAGCCTTTTCTCTTCCTTACAGGCACTCTGACCACCTTTTTTGGTGTTTTTCTGCACTGCCATATCCTTGTAATTCATTGCAGTTGCTCTCTTTCTCTATTCTATTAACCAGATCCCTGCCTCTGGTTGCCCTGCCTCCACACAGGGTTTGCCCCAACCGACTAGATTTTGGGAACTGCTATGTCTGGATATACCTTTATACCACCTCGCTACTTAATGGACTGCCACCACTGTGTTACACAAATGTCTCATAAAACTGAACAGATATCTTTTTACAATATCCTTCCTATGGAAAGCTGAGTCACAGAGAAATTAAGTAATGTGGTTGTGCAGAAAGTTTGTTTGTCAAATTTCTGAATCCCTATCATTACCACGTCAGTCTGTCTACATAGACTATTTCTATCCTCTCATGAACATCTCCTCTTGATGTTCATGATTATGGTTTGTTGGCCAAAACTAAAAACATGCAATGCTGGTGAGTTTACTATTTGTGAAATCCTAGCAGACATCAAACAAAAACATGAAATAGAATAGAAGAGCTGTATCTTCTTGGTCCATCCTTCTCTGCTAATACTGCACACTGACATTCATTTATTAGTATTTTGCTTTAGCCTTGAAGACTTCTGGCAGGGCTGAATATTTCTTTTATCACAAGATGCCACATAGAACTAGTCACCAAGTAGAATTTCTCTGCCCTGGTCCACTGTGGCTATATAAGCGTTCCCCTTTCTACTTTCACGTTTCACAAACATTGCCTCCATCATCTTTGCCCAAATGAAATGTCATTTAGACTCTAAGAGCTACGTAGTGATGACCTTCCTTAAGTTCATGAGACACCATTTCTTGTCATCAGGTTCTATCAAATTCTAGGCAAAATATAATTGTCTCTTACCTTAATTCATAGCTGCATGGAAAACCAATGCTTTCTTCACACTGAGCCTGATGGTTTTTAAGTATATATTTCCTCTTCTCTAGTGCTTAAGCATACCCTATGCAACGTGAACTTTGGCAGGGAAGCTTCCTGGGCTGAGCTTCAGGGCTGAGCTGAGAAAGTATTAATGCACTCTGCTCAGGTCCTGCTGTTGGGGTACAAAATAATGAAGCAGGATGCGGCCAGTCAGAGGGGCAGAAGTGCTTATAAAAGGACTGCAAAGAAGCCAGAAATGCTTTAGGAGCTTCATCCTGAGAGTGTAAAACCTTTCATCCCTTTGCTTCCCCCCCCTACATGCTCTAAGTCTGGATGTTTTTTGATGTTCTTTCCATTTTGGGTGATTTCTCCCTCCTTTCCCTGCCACCAGTCTCCCCTTGAGGGGCACGGCAAATGTTTGGCACCAGGGGGGGAGACCTGTGGGATTCAGCCCCAGCAAGGAACATGGAAACCGCTGACTCCTGGCAGCAAACAAAACGGAGGCTCGAGCTTTGTCCCACCTGTCAGCACCACTGCTTGGCGCGTGTGAACTGGCTCACCCCAGATCGTGCCAAGGCCTGTCTTAGCCTAGGCCACGGGCTCTTCCTAGCAGGCATTTTGGATGCAGCCATGCTGTCTGGGAGGCAGAAGCGGGAGTTTAGGCATAGGCATGCTGCCCACCCAATGGCAACTGTCTCAGGGGCAGCAAAGGATCCTTGGCCCGTTTCAGTTGGTGCTGCCTCTCGAGTGCCTAAAGCAGTTGCCGCATGAGGGAGGCGCTGGGCCCCGGGGCCAGACAGCTCCCATTTACGCTGCGACTCAGACATCTTGCAGAGCAAGCTGGCCTAATCCAGACCGCATGGCTAGCGCAGCCTCTCCCTGGAAGAAGAATGCCCCTGTGGGGCAGAGTGCGAAATGAAGGGATTTTCAAAAGCTGGGGAAGGGCAGAGGCCAGGAGGAGGCAGCTGTGTGGGCAGCAAGGGGGCCACCAGGCTCATGGAGACCCGCGCTGTAGGTGCAGCGGTGCGGGAGCGTCCCCGGCATGCTGCCAGGTTGTCCCGGACTGGGCAGGACTGCTGGACGCGGCGCACTTCCTCTGCATGCCGGAGCGCGGCAAAGGACAGCAGCGAGCAGCCTGGAGGGAGCAAACCTGTGAGCTGAGGACAATGTGGCTGTCAGGGGCTGAGGGGAGCTTGGGCGGTCATGGGGGCCAGGCTGGCCCCAGGTGGCGGGCCTTGGGCGGTGCCATTTCTCTAGAGAGGAGTAACAGCACAGGAAGGCACCTTCCCCACCCGGGCTCCCTGTAGCCATTTAGCCCTGTAATACGGTATTGCTAGGAACAAGTCATAAGCTTTGTTTTGAGTTTGCAAGCCCTCAGGACTGAGACTTGTCAGGCTTGCTCGGTCTGAACCTTTCTTCACTTGCCTACAGCTTTGTTCTACTTTGTTTAGCGGTGACAGCAATTTCTCTAATTGACCAGGTATCTGCGGCTAATTTCTTATACTTTTCTTTGTGAAGTTTTACAAAGAAAGCATTAACTAGCAGTTATTCTATGCAAAATACAGGACAGGCAAGTGATGGTAAGAGATGCGGCACCGGCTGGCACTGCAGCCCCCCCAGCTTTAACCAGTTCACTAATGCTTAGTTAACAAAAATGCAGACCTGGAACTGGACAAGACTCATTTTAGGGGTAACAGAGCAGAAATAGTATGTAACATATGTAAAGGGTGCTGTTCATAGTAAATTTGGATGTAATGAGGAGCTGCAGACCAATGAAGAAAAAGGTATAAAAGTGTGTTAGCACATCCAAATGCCCCCAAGTGGATCCTAGAGGAAGGTAGAAGAAACCATCAACACAAATATCACGTTACTCCCAGCTGAGGACCCCAGATGCTGACAACTCGTTGTAACACCCCACTACCACCACCAGCACAAAACCACGAACATTATTACTGCTCCAAGCTGTTGCTCATTGATTGCTGTAGCGAGTTGCTGGGCAAATATTCTTGCATAAGTTCAGTTCCACTACTTCTACTAATTTTATGTTTTTTTCATTACACCTACATAACTGTGCTGTATCTAACAAGAGTTACAGCCCTAACAAGCACTTAGCACATACTGAAGGTTAAATTGTAGGCCTCCAACATCAGCCTGATTACTTGAGTTACGTCAGCTCAGTAGATCAGGACAAGCATACATGGAAATAATTAGGGAAATGATACCTAAGTGTTAGTCAAGAACAGGAAAGATATATTTCTGAAAATAAAGACTAAAGGCTAGGGTCAGAGCAGCAGATTTTCAAAACCAACATTTTTCTCCTTTTTCTCTGACAAGACCTATCCATTCTTTAAAAATTACATCTAGATGTAAAGACCTGCATGCTTTTTTTTCAGAGAAGTATCAAAAGGCTTGATGGTGGTTTCTCCTCACACACTGAATGTTGGTGCTGTGGCTGCCAAAATTATGAACTTTCACCTTTCAGAAAAGTAAATTTCTGGTATGCAGTATAAAGGAAATGTTTTCATGGTGTGAGAACTATAAGATTCAGAAAGGTGGGTTAAAACTTCCTTAGTGTAAATGATTGGTCAGAGTTAGCCCTTCAGTGCTGCCCTGTCTGTGGATCTTGTAGAAGATGTGCTGTGGTTCAGAAGACACCAAAATCTAAACCAGTCTCCCACACCCTCATGAGGATGATGAGGGGCACAGCAGGCACCAACCATACATTAAACAGTTGCAACATTGGCATCTCACAAATCCCACAGGCATCGTCACCTTGCAGCAAGTCTCTCAAATGCCTGCTCCACCTCATTGCAGCACATGGGAAGGACTTGGTTGAACTTCAGTACAGATTGCCATTGCCTGGGGAAGGCTGCATGCCCTGCCAGATGGTGATTGCACTACCTTGGCCCCGCTGCAGGCAGGCGCTACCACTCCACGAATTACTTTGTCCCCTCTGAGAAACAAGGGTTCACCATTGCCTTCAATCCTAGGCCTCGACAGCGATTCACTGGGCACCATGGGCTTTACTGGTAAACCCCGAGGAGATGTCCACGAACCTCCTTCTGTGGTCTTCTAAGAACTGCATTGCAACAGAGAGGTACCTTTCTGGCTGATGGGAGCCCTTTGCGGGGTACCTGCGAGCGGTGGCTGCCATCTCCAGTGCCTGTATAATTAGGAAATCCCCAATGCAAATCCATTTTGCCTGTGTCCTCCCCAGGCCCCCCCTCCTGCAGACAAGATAAAAAGAGTACGCGTAATCCAATATGATCTTCCTGACTGTGCACACTTGTACACACCAAACTGGTTTACTGCTGACCTGTAAAACGTGGCAGCTCACAACAGGCTGTATGATTCGGAGATCCTCATTACAGCTGCGCAGCGAGCAAACCCTGAGCCCCTGAGTCCTGAACTATCTGCCTTAGAGCTTTCCTCCATGTGTCAGTTGTGCGGCACTGAGACATGCATGATAGCTGTCACTGCAATGAACCCTGCTGGCCATTTTTCTTCTCTGCATTTCACTTCCAAAACTCCCCTACACCTTTTCTGTCAGAAGAGCCAGCTGGATGCTGACAAGGAGATGCACTCCTTCTGCAGAAACACCTTGTTCCAGTCCTCTGTGGGAACAGGCGTGTTCTCTGCCAAGAGCCTGCCCGGCAGCTTTTGGTGTGGATACAGGCACCTACATGTGCATCTCCCCCCTAACTGTTTCCTTCCCTCACTTCTAAAGGAAAACCCAGCAGGTGGAGCCTCATTCCTTCATGTCACGGTCCTTTAGAGCTGCGAGAAGACAGCTCGCCTCCCATGGCTTTCCAGCCACCAGTAAGTAGCAGAGACGGGTTTATTCTTCTGTCAGAGAGGCAGAGTGTTGGCAGCAGGTCGAGGGAGGTGATCCTGCCCCTCTCCTCAGCCCTGCTGAGGCCTCACCTGGAGTGCTGTGTCCAGTTCTGGGCTCCCCCAGTACAAGAGAGACATGGTGCTACTGGAGAGAGTCCAGCGGAGGGCTACAAAGATGATGAGGGGACTGGAGCATCTCTCCTATGAAGAAAGGCTGCAAGAACTGGGCCTTTCAGTCTGGAGAAGAGAATGAGGGGGGATCTCATCAACGTGTACAAGTATCTGAAGGGGGAGTGTCAAGAGGATGAGGCCAGCCGCTGGAGATATTCAAAACCCGTCTGGATGTGATCCTGGGCAATGTGCTCTAGAGGACCCTGCTTGAGCAGGGAGGTTGGACTAGATGATCTCCAGAGGTCCCTTCCAACCTAAACCATTCTGTGATTCTGTGATTCTGTGACTCTGCCTCTAAACTTGCGGAAAAGAGGATGAGCCCAAGTGAGAGCAACACTTCTCCCCTGGTGCCTTCCCTCGCTCCCATCTTAGACCAAAACAAAGCTGGAGCCAGGCTCTCTGGCTGAATGCTGTTCAATATACTGCCATCTGCAGAGCTGCTATTGTGCAGAAGACTACTGTACACTTAGGAATTAGTGATCCACTGAACAGTTAACCTGAGTACGTACAGGCCTGTGCTGGGCTGCATATATCCCTTGACCGCAGGATTAATTTGGCTGGCTAATGGTAACAGAGGAGCCTGCAGGCAGTTCCCACTTGGCACCAGCTGCCTGCATGTCCTTGTCTTTATCTAAAAGTGAAACAGCAATTTCTCATGTGAATGTTCACATGTCCTTTCACTGGACTGTAAGAATAAGCAATAGAATTATTTTCTTCTAAGAAAATCCCGTAAGAGCTGTAAAGACCAAAATGCAGATGAACCTCACCACAGACAGGATCTGCGTCCTGATCGAGAGGTCCATCTGATGCTGTATCATCTCAGGATTCCCAGCATCAGAAGGGATGTAAGATTTAATTGCTAATCATTTATGCTTCTCCTATCTTTAAATATTCTGATTAAACATTGTATTATACTTATAGATTTGAATGAGTATTCTTTCTTATCAAGATCCGCAAAGCACCAGCACCTACCCAGTGCACAACAATGTTCCACTGCAAATGACTCAGCCCCAAGGTGCAACTCTTCTTGCAACATTGGAAGAATTGATGGATGGCCTTGGAAAAGAAGTAGAAAAGAGGTAGA